TTTTTTTTTTTAAAGTAACTACTGAAAACATACAAACATTCTGAAATCAAACCCTCCAATTTGTTTTGTTTTTACCATTTTTAAGTGTTATGATTTAAATTGTATTGAACACACTTCCTATCTTTTTTTATTTAAATTCAGTTTGCCAGCATATAGTACATCATTAATTTCAGATGTAGTGTTCAATAATTCATCAGTTGCATATAATACCCAGTGCTCATCACATCACATACCCTCCTTAATGCCTATCACCCAGCTGCCCCATACCCCCACCCACCGCCCTTTCCGCAACCCTCAGCTTGTTTCCCATAGTCAAGACTCTCTCATGGTTTGTCTTCGTCTCTGATAACTTCCCATTCAGTTTTCCCTCCTTTCCCCTATGATCCTCTGCACTATTTCTTATATTCCACATATGAGTGAAACCATGTAATTGTCTTTCTCTGATTGACTTATTTCACTTAGCATAATACCCTCCAGTTCCAACCACGTTGATGTAAATGGTAGGTATTCATCCTTTCTAATGGCTGAGAAATATTCCATTGTATTTATAAACAACATCTTCTTTATCCATGCCTCTGTTGAAGGACATCTCAGTTCCTTCCACAGTTTGGCTAATGTGGCAGGATACAAAATCAATGCACAGAAATCAGTTGCATTTCCATACACTAACAATGTGACTGAAGAAAGAGAAATTAAGGAGTCGATCCCATTTACAATTGCACCAAAAACCATAGGATACCAAGAATAAACCTAACCAAAGAGGTAAAGGATCTATACTCTAAAAACTACAGAACATTTATGAAGGAAATTGAGGAAGACACAAAAAGATGCAAAAACATTCCATGTTCATGGATTGGAAGAATAAGTATAGTTAAAATGTCTATGCTACCCAGAGCAATCTATATATGCAGTGCAATCCCTATCAAAATACCATCGACATTTTTCACAGAGCTGGAATAATCCTAAAATTTGTATGGAACCAGAAAAGACCCCAAATAACCAGAGGAGTGTTGAAAAAGAAAACCAAATCACAATGCCTGACTTCAAGCTAAATTACAAAGCCGTGATCATCAAGACTGCATGGTACTGTCTTTTAAATAATAAACACAGTGAAAAGAATTTAACCCTGGCTTAAGGACTGCATGCCTAGCACAAAGCCTTATTGATAGGAGGCATCTGATATACCAAGGGACCTTTTCTCTTAAGTGTGATAGAATACATTGTTGTTTCAGGGACCACTGAAGTTTGAAGGCCTCTTTGCACCTATAGTAAGGATCCCAGGCTGTTGTCTTTTTGTGACTGATCACTGTTCTATCTGCTTTCTTAGTATCTTACATCATAGTTCAGGGCAAAGTGGTTTAAACTACTTCTTCCCACTTCAGACTCTGTCTCAGAAAGGCTAGAACTGAAATCACCAGAAGAAATGAGATGACTACCTTGCACATCTTTAACCTCATTTCTATACCCAGATTTCTCCGTAGACTCTGGTCAGCAGAGGTCCGGGGGTTCTGATACTCAGATGGGGACTCATACCTGTGTGTTTTGTGCAGGTACTTTTCCATACACCTTGCGAGCTTTCATCTTTTCTTTTTCCCCAGAGCTCTTGACTCCAGCTTCAAAGATACATTTCCCATGACATAGACAAGTTAGTTCATCTCTCTATGCCTCAGGTTCCTCACCTGTAGTACGAGGATGTTAATAGTATCGACCTCATAGGGTCATTGTGAGGATTAACTGAATTAATATTTGGACAGTTCTTAAAGCAGTGGTGCATAGTAAGGATTAAGTAATTAAAAAGGGGGGGCACCTGCGTGGCTCAGTCGGTTAAGCATCTGCCTTCAGTCATGATCCCCCCTGTTCATGGGAAGCCTGCTTCTCCTGCTCCTTCCCATTCATGCTCTGTCTCGCTATCTCTCTCTCTCAAATAAATAAATAAAATCTTTAAATAAATAAATAAAATTTAAAAAGATTGACCACTGGCAAATGGTTTCTTAAAGAAAAGGAAGGATCTGAAAAGATGCTTCTTCTGGTTCGGGGTGATATACGCTTTCTTTCCTGAGGTAGGAGCGGAGTGATATGGATGCATTTGTGATCGAAGAAACAGAACTGAATGGTATTACCTAAAATATCTGTCGGAAATGCTGGCCCTGAGCCTGGGTCCTGACTGGTTGAAGTAATATATGGCAAAATGTTCATAGCAACTCCTTTGGGGCTCTTCATAGTAGATTTTAAAAGGAGACAGGAGAAATAAACTGGAAATATATAGCGATGGAGGGAATTGGGGGCAAAGCTTATGCCAAGAGTTAGCAGTTATCTTCTGTATGTAACAAGGGCTAAAACAGGGTGACTCTCAGTGGAGAATATATATATACACACACACACAGAGAGATAGAAAGTTACATATGTAAAGGTATATAAATTTTTTAAGCACCTGTCTGACTTACGTGTTTTCTCAGCTTCTGTGGAGAAGGGCACCGGCCATCTGCTTTGTTAAAGCAGGTGCTACCTTTGTGTGGCATGTGCAGGGGGCTGCTGTGCGGCCACCATGAAGCTCGGAACCCCTCCGTGTTGCCCCAGGTGCTTCTTGGGAGCCCGGTGGCAGGAGACTTCCTGTGCCCTTGGCATGTCTCTGCCTGACTGTGCCCAGCCAGGGACTGGCCCTGACATTCCTGGCACAGGGCTTGGTCGTTCATTCACTCTGATGGCCGCCCTTTGCCCCAGCTCCCTTGGCCAGAGGCGGCTCAGTTGTAATTTGCTCTCAGGCTCAGAGGTGCAGCCCTGTCAGACTGCAGCGTGTGTTTATCTTGTAATCCACAGACAAGAAGAAAGGAGGTAAATTCCAGCCTTTTAAGAAGTTGTTTGGCAGAAGGAAAAAGAAAGACACTTTGTGGTCCCAGGAGGCATCAGCAGGCGATAAGAGTCACTCTCCCCGGAGTGTCAGCAATGGGAACTTCTCTTCAGATGAGGAGACCCTGGAAGACAATCTAAGGTAACAATTCATACTTGTCCCCCCGCCCCAGATCTTTGGCAGAGTCCCAAGTGGGGAATGGGATCCCAGAGGAGGCGAGCATGGAATCACAGTTGTGTTGCATCCTGGGAAGGCGGAAGACTTGGGGTTCTTTGTGCGTTCTATGTGGAGAAGGCACCTTGGGGAGTTGGCAGTGAGCCTGGCCTCATTTTCCGGGAGAGCACAGGGATCTGTGCCTTCATTTTGCTGCCCTCACTGGTGCTAGAGGCAGCACCCCACTGGTTTGGTTCAACAAGTTCACCTGGATAGGAGACTGCATTCCCGTGTCCTGTTGCTTGGCAAAGAGAGAGTGGTCATAGATTGGATTGTACATCCACGGCGAGAACATAGACTGCTCAGGCACAGGGTGGTCACCCTTCATACCTCTGGCAATCTCCAGCGACTTCTGGAAGCTGTCATGGAGCTTTTAACTTCTGCTCTTTGTTTTCTTCTTCTTTTCTTTAAAAATTTATTTATTTGAGAGAGCGTGAGCGTGCAAGCACAAGCAGGGGGAGGGGCAGAGGGAGAGGGAGAGACAGAATCGCAAGCAGGCTCCAGCTGAGTGTAGAACCCATTGGGGGCTCAATCCCACGACCCCAGGATCACCCCCTGAGCCGAAACCAAGAGCCGGATGCTTCACAAACCAAGCCACCCAGGCGCCCCTGCTCTGTTTTCAGTGTTTCTCCATCTCTCCCCCACCTTTTCCCTCAGCCCTCCCCTTTCTCTTTCCCTCTCTCTCTCTCCTTCCCTCTCTCTCCCTCCTTCCCTTCTTCAGCTTCTCCCTCTCCCCCTCTCTTTCCTTCTTAGAGCACAGGCACTAAATCTGGCCATGACAGTGTCAAGAACTCAGAAAAGCAGGGTCAGGAGGTCCTTTCTCACCTGAGTGCTGGGAACTGAAGTCGGAGTCAGAGGTGGTTAACTCTGCTACTGACAGCTTGGAAGTCAGCTCCTCTGAGAAGCCTTTTCCCACCACCTGATCTGATTTGTTTACCCTTGCTGGCGTTCCCCGAGCATCACGAACCTGGCTCCAGCAAAGGACTTGTCACTTTCTATGGAAATTACTGAGTTGCCTGTCTGTCTCTCTCATTTGACTGCCAGTTCCATGAAGTCAGGGACCAGGTTTTATTCAGCCTCGCATTAGGTGCTCAAAAAATGTTTCCTGTGTATTAGGGCAAGTTGCCCTAATACATGTGGAAGGGATGGATGATGTAGTCTGTGATATCTTTACTGTAATTCAAAGACAGACAAGAACAAAAACATCCTCTGTGTTGTATGTCAGTAAGTAAATTCTAATACACACTACAGCTGAGCACAGCTTACAAAATTCTTAGGCAAGCAGGGCACATTCAACTTGGCCGTGCTCAGAGACAGCATTTGCGGGTCCCAACTCATACTGACTCTTTTCCTCGACAGGCCTGTGTTTGTTTTCCATTATCTTTAGTAAGAAAACTACGAATTTTTTTTTTTAAAGATTTTATTTATTCATTTGAGACACAGAGATACAGAGAGAGAGCATGAGCAGTGGGAGAGGCAGAGGGAGAGGAAGAAGCAGACTCCCCGCTGAGTCAGGAGCCCAATGTGGGACTCGATCCCAGGACCCTGGGATCATGACCTGAGCCGAAGGCAGACGCTTAACCATCTGAGCCACCCAGGCGCCCCGAAAACTATCGAATTTAACTGAAGGAAATTATTTCACTGAAAGGAGAACACAGCTAGCACTGAGCTCACCCAGTTGTTGGAATGCCAGTACGGACTGATATATGCTTGAGGACTGTTCAGAATGAATGTTTTGATTTTACTTCAGTTTCTTCAGTTGTAAAACAGGAATGTGAACCTTTTTTTGCCTCACAGTGTCAGAGTGAGGTATAGGTGCTAAAGTGTGACCAGCTAGTAGTTTAGGGCAAAATGAGGTTGAGTCTAGAAAGTTCTCCTTTAGAAGGACTGTTCTGTGAAAACACAGCCTGTCCTTTTTATGATTTTGCCAAGTCCCTGATTTCTTACTGAATGACTTGGGATTTTTAGAGGAGCCTGGATTCTGGGGGTTCTCCTCTCATTTAAGTTCTATTCCATCTACCCCCTTGGAGTTTTCCTTGGGTTTTAATTTGTACAAAGCCTTGGAATTCCATATTGGTTCAAATAGCTGCGTTTTTGGTTTTTTTTTAAGATTTTATTTATTTATTTGACAGAGAGACAGTGAGAGAGGGAACACAAGCAGAGGGAGTGGGAGAGGAGGAAGCAGACTCCCAGTTGAGCTGGGAGCCCGATGCGGGGCTCCATCCCAGGACCCCGGGATCATGACCTGAGCCGAAGGCAGACGCTTAACGACTGAGCCACGCGGGTGCCTCCAAACAGCTACATTTTTATAAAATACAGATAACGTCCCCTGTTCTTATTATTGGCTTTTGTTGATAAACCTGTATTTATGAGACATACACTATATTTTAATTATTTAACAGTTGTTTTTATAATAAAGGAATCTGGAAGGTTACCTTTTGGGTGAAGAGTTTTTTAAAATGTCTCTTTAAATATTTTTTAAATTAAAAAGACAAGAAAACAGGAGTCATTTAAAATATACATTCCCCTTTTCTTCTCGGAAATTGACAATTGCAAAATAACTCCACCTGCAAAGTAAATACTGTATCCGTTGCTTACCTTGCTTACCGTATAGGTGAATTTCTGATTATTCGCCCTCTTTACAGATGGAGAAAATGTAAGTTGTTTCCAACACTTCTTTTTTTCACTGAAGTATGATTAACATGTTTCCAACAATTTTTATTTTCAGTTTACTGCTCAATTAATAATCATGTTACTTTAGATTGTGTAATGATTCACAAAATTTCTGTGCATTTTATTTGCTGTCTCCAAAATGGACAGCTCTCACTAAAACACAAACACTCAAAATTCTGCTAGCATGGTCTTGGGTGCAGGTTCCAAGGAGGCAAATTTCAGCCCAGGGTGAGGGAGAATTTCCTAAATACTAGAGCTGCTTAAAGCTGAGGAGGCTGGGTATGTGCCAGCAGGGGTTTGGACTGATGAAGGGGAAATTCTGCCCTGGGTGAGAATTTAAAGGAGTTGAACTTTAACATGCTGTCAAACTCCAAGAATCTGTAATTCTAGAAATGTCTCCATGGCCAAAAATAGCTCATTATTGATCTGCTCCTTCTGCTTGAAATTTCTCATTTCCTTTGGGCTTTTAAAGCATACTGTTCTTTCTCTAGGTTAGAAGCCTTTATTTCTCCTAGGCTGCTGCTTTTAAATTATACATGCCTGTGGGGAAAGCAAAATAGTAAAACATGGTCAGTTTTTAACAATTTAATGTGACTTCCTTTATTTATTAAATACAACTAAAATTGTGTTTCCCAAAATGTGTTAAGTTTAAAAAGAGGGAGAGGGTCAGCTTGGCAAATAGGTTTGGGAAATTCTTGGCCAAAACAAATAGGATCCTTTACATAGGACTTTTCAGACCTTTTACTATGCTAATGTGCCCTGGGAATCTCTGAGAAGGGGGATGTAGTATGAAACATTTCCAAGACTCCTTTAACCACAAACCTTTTTTTTTTCACAGAGAATACCCAATGGCGTATATTAAAGCTATCGCTTTTTGAACTTAATGCAGTGTGTTTTGCATAGGTGAACTCATAATGTTCACATGCTCTGAGATTCACATTATTATCCCTGTTTCTTTTTTTCAGAAATTGAGATTTAAAAAATTGAGATATAATGGACATATACCATTAGTTTCAGGTGTATAACCTAATGATTCAGTATTTGTATCTACTGTAAGATGATCACCACAATAAGTCTTGTCACCATCTATCACCATACAAAGTTACAAAAAGAATTTTCTCTTGTGTTGACAACTTTTAAGATTTATCCTCTTAACATCTTTCAAATATATAATACAAATAATATATACAATACATAGAACAGTATATACAGTACAATACAAATAATAGTATTATTAACTGTAGTCACCATGCTGTATATTACATCCCCATGACTTATTTTATAACTGGAAATTTTTGCCCCTTTACCCATTTCACCCACCCTTCAACCCCTCCCCTCTGGCAACCATCAGTCTGTTTCTGTATTTATTAGTTTTGTTTTGCATGTTCATTTCTTTTAAGTTTTAGATGCCACATATAAGTGAGATCATATGGTATTTGTCTTTCTCTCTCTGACTTAGCATAATACCTTCAAGGTCTGTCCATTATCACAAATGGCAAGATTTCATTATTTTTTATGGCTGAATTGTATTCGTGTGTGTGTGTGTGAGAGAGAGAGAGAGAGAGAGAGAAACATCTTTATTCATTCATCCATTGATGGACATTTAGGTTGTTTCTATATCTTGGCTAGTGTAAATAATGCTGCAGTGAATAAAGGGTGCATTATCTTTTCAAATTAGTGTTTTTGTTTTCTTCAGATAAATACCAGTAGTGGGGACGCCTGGGTGGTTCAGTTGGTTAAGCATATGCCTTCGGCTCAGGTCATGATCCCAGGGTCATGGGATCAAGTCCCGCATTAGGCTCTGTGCTCAGTGTGGAGTCTGCTTGAGATTCTCTCTCTTCCTCTGCCCCTTCCCCCATTCGCACTCTCTCTCAAAATAAACAAAGAAAATCTTAAAAAAAGAAGAAGAAGTAGTAAAACTATTCACAGATGCCATGGTCTTATATATAGAAAATCCTAAGGAATCTACAAGAAGCTTACTAGGTTAATAAACAAGGTTGAACAAGGTTGCAGAGTACAGGATTGGAGGAGGTTTTTTGTGTTTCAGTTGTATTTCAGTACACTAGAAATGAACAATCTGAAAATGAACTTAGGAAAACAAGTCCATTTACAGTAGCATCAAAAGGAATAAAATACTTAGTAGTAAATTTAATAAAAGAAACACAAGGGGTGCCTGGCTGGCTCAGTCAGAAGAGCATGCAATTCTTGATTTCAGGGTTGTTAGTTTGAGCCCCATGTTGTGTGTAGAGATTACT